ATTGGTCAGATCACGTGCTGCTGGTGGCACAAACCGATAAATATTTTATCAGCCCGGCAAAAATGCCTAAATCTAGCTTGGTACACTAAAAAAATGTCGGGAAAGCAATTTTACATATAATCTTGGCTCCAGCTCCAGCCCTAATACTAACCTTTAAATTAACCTTTAACAATAACCTCTATTACACAAATATCGCATGATCCGACCTTTTTTTCGTCATGGCTAGGGTACTAAATTAGATGAATGTAACGTATATGAGGGATCTTGCCCAAATCAACAAACGCGATGAATTTGAGACAACGGAGTCCCCAATAAAAATTAATATCGATTTGAGGGGTTTGAACAGGTTAAGTGGGTTTTTGGTCAGATTTTATAAAAAACGGTTTAAGCTTTTAGACATGTCTGTTGGATTTAATTAGACAAAACAATTTTAGACAGACATTTTAGACAATTGAAGAGTCAACAATGTCCTTTATTCAATGGGTTCTAAAATTAAATAAATATTTTTCTAAAATATTCTTATATTTAAATATATCGTTTTTATCCAGAGTTTGTTTCTTTTTTGATTTAGGCAAGTGTGACATAGTTTTTTATTGTTTCTCAATATCGATATGTTATTCTTCACTCGATACAATGATACTCGATATAATGATGACTAACTAAAAACTCGATACGTATAATAATGAAAAATCCAAAAATACTTAATAAACTTTCTAAGATATAATGATTTTTATAATTCAATACAATGATATTTGCAAAATTCTTATATCGCGTTTTGACTGTGCAAATGGTGAGTATCTTTCATCACGAATAAGAAAGTTAATTTACTCTATCTAACTATTAAGTTCAGAAAAAATAGTAAGAATAAAGAACGAAATACTCACATCCAACAAAACTCATGACCACAGTTAGGGAGCTTCCAGAAATTACGTAATTTTGAGATGGGTAGGTGAGTCAGCAAATTTAACAGGTTTCATTTGGATCATCTTAATTTCATACATGTGGGTGAGTAATACTCAGGAAGCTCCATTTTCCCCAGCGTCACCAAAATTCATCCCGGAAAATTAACGTTAAAGGATATTTTATCGTTCGGGTTAGGGTAAGGGTTAGAGTGGAGGACAAGGTTATATGTAAAATTGCCTTTCTAACATTTTCAATTAGTGTTTCAAGCCAGATTTAACATCTGTTTTTCATATTTTCACATTTTTCTCTTTTTTTTCATCTTCTTCTGTCGGATTTGTTTGCTTCACTCAGCAGGACGTTCTTATTGGGTTATGCCACATCACGCTCACGTGAATTTTTGTTGGCTACGCTGGCCCTACATGTCATATGGTCACAGCCAACTGTTTTCTGAATTCGCCTCGAGCAACGCGGACAAGTTTTGGTCTTTTCACGAATAAATTTTTATGACTTTGCCTCGTATTTTCGTAATTTTCCTAGTCGCACAGCTTCTTTTCGTTTGTTGCGTGCATCTTCTTGGATTGCATAGCAGTCGCGGCGGCGGCAAGTGAAAAAGAGGAAAATTTTAAGGAGGTGTTTTCGGTAAAATAGTTTTGATATGTGTTTGCATACTGTTGTTATTGCGTGCTTTAAGAATAAGTTATCTGAAGAATGTGTGGAGCGCTCAGATGTACATTGTGGTGATACAAAATCGAGGTTTGTGATTGGGAGTGAGTGGATTATGTGGATTATACAAGATTTGTAGTGCTGCATCTATAATTTGATTATAAAGATTAGAGAAGTGAATCTGAAATAGTAATGCATTAGATCTGAACTACAAATTTGACCTGAACTGCAATTTGGATTTAAACAATAATGGAAATCGGGCATTTGCGAAAGCACTGAATTTACAAATAAATGATGGTATTTATTAGTATGGCAATTAGGATCGAGTGGTTGCGCTTGTCATTCATTGTTAATATAGAAGGTTGTATGTCGACGGCCAACATGCTTGGTATAGTTCAACATATTATCTGGAGTTCCGAAGATTCTCATTCTTTTTTCGACTGTTGACGAAGCATCTATATCTATCATAACGCAATCATCCAGAGCAGAATACAATGCTAAGTATATCTGGCCTTTCATCTCGGTGATAATTTCTGTCTCCAATAAATCCTAATAATCATTGAATACGTACGAGAACGTTATTATGAGTTTATCAAGGTTGAGATTCAAAAGTATCTGAATATTTATAAATTCAAAGAAACAAGTACAGCAACTACATTTGTTTGTAATTTAAATCGAACATGATTTATCGAATTTCTATCACTATGTATTATGAAATAAATTTTAATCCTTCTGCAAATCGTATGGCCAAATGTAACTTGCCGGACCCAGTTAGTTTAGAGAATTTGCAGCTAAATATTCATTGAGAGTGCCTCCATCAGCATATTCAAAACAAGCATAAATCTGCAGGAAATTAGATCCAACAATGGTATTACTAAGATTTTTAGTAAGCATATCCATTCGTTATACGTAGTTTTACCTTAGTGATTCTATATAATATTTTGGTGGTAGTTTGATGTATTAAGACATTTCTTAATACATGTAAATGGCATATACGGTGAAACACAGGTTCGAATTTGTACGTACATTAAAATGCGCATGTATAGAAAATTCTTAGCATTGAGCAATAAATGGCGTATACGGTAATATAATTTTTAAAATCGTTATTGAAATCTTAACAGAAAATCACATGATGTAATCATAGATTGATGATTAGGAGAGTGACAAATATTAGCTAATATCCATTTGTTATAGGGACCCCGCCCCCTCCTGAGATTTCGTGTAATACATGCACGTGAGATAATAGTCACTATCACATACAATCGTGAGCCCGACATATAGTAAGCTTCTATAAAAATTGTCCGCTATAGTTACGTCACAATATGTGTATCCTTAGAATTATTGTCCCGGTTTACGAACCGGGGCCGAATTAGTTTGATAAATGAATTTCCTGATTAGTCACCATATGATAAACAAAATCGGACCTATGATCAGGTCCGAAACCAATTAAAATTCAGATCTCATGTAACAAACCAAACGACAAAAACGAAAATCGTAAATAACGCAAAATTTTATTATGACATCAGTCTTCGACCTCTAAGCAAAAATATTCAGTATAAAATTTTAGGTGTACACGTAGTACGTGTGCTATTCTATTTATGAAATAGGCCATTTTTATGGTCCTCCCATATTAGTCACATGAAATGCTTGACTCGACTATTACTGTATGTTAATTCCGATTATAGGTAAGTGACATCAAAAATGGTTAACGTTAATATTACCCACAAGTAATACTACCTATTACAGTGCTCGTCAGAAGTAACGTGTCCCCCATAACTTTCCATAATGTACTAAAATTTTCCGAGCACAAAGAACATTACAAATGCTGATCGTTGATACTTTTTTATAGATTGGTCGAGCTTCTATATCGGGTATTGTATGTTCATAAAACTTTCATGCCCAAATACAATCAATTGACATAATATCTCGACGTCTAGTGATCCAATTTGAGTGAAAAATAATACCATACAATTTGCCTAATCTAGGCGAATCAAATGGTGGTATTTTCACTCAAATTGGGCTAATAGACGTCGAGATATTTTGTCAATTTATTGTATTTGGGCATGAAAGTTTTATGAACATACAATACCCGATATAGAAGCTCGACCAATCTATAAAAAAGTATCAACGATCAGCATTTGTAATGTTCTTTGTTCTCGGAAAATTTTAGTACATTACACATGATCTATGGAAAGTTAAGGGGGTACTTTACTTCTGACGAGCACTGTAAGTAATATTACCTATTAGATAATATAATACCCTTAAACAGATTACCCAGAAAAAATTGTTTATTACTTTGTATAAATTCAACATCATCTTACTTCTTTGCAAGTTCTTACCTTGCTTCATAGGTTCGAAAGAATTCTATCATATTTAAGATTTCAAATTGACATTATAAACAAATGTGCATCTCTTCACCGCTAAAGTTCGAAACAGTGCATTTTTATCCGGTCGATCACTTGAATATCAAGCTTTCTTGATTATGATTAAGAGGGACGCCAAGCTCCTTTTAACTACGATTGAAAAAAGGGGTAGTTACTTATGGTATCATACGAATGCCGAATTCTCTCGAGGGGAGGTGTTGCTTGAGTGTTATAGGATAGAAATATTCAAATATCGCTACTTATTAAGCTCATTTATACAATATTACCAAACCTAAATTCTTGTTTCAGTATTAGAACTGTTAACAGGAATGAGGTTATTTTAAGAATGAAATAAATATTATTTTGAATAATTATGTTTATATTTATAATAAATAATTTATTTAAAATAATCGATAATCAGGAGATGACGCTTTAACAAAAATGATTTACAAAAAATGCTTGGCACTTCCGCCTTTTTATACCTCTTCTTTTAATCCACAAATCGCCTTTTAATACTAATTTAATTCTATGTTATTTTTGGGACCACCATGTTGCCGCGCCGCTATGTCAGTGCAAAGGTGCGAAACCTTTGCACACAAGAACTGCTCGAGATTACAAAACCAAAAAGGTAGCAGACGACTTGATTAAAGCGCAGTAGATGAAATTGAAAGATTTAATATGAAACAAAGACCATAAGCAAGAAATGAACAATGTTTTAATAAATTCATTTACGGCTTCGAAATCCAAGCAATGCTCATTTGAGGGATACTATAAGAAAGTTTCGCTCTGTGTTTTGGATATTCGAAAAAAATTCTATCACCTCTAACATCGATTTAATTGCCCTTGGTTTCGGTTTAAAGTCAATAACCTAGCGAATTTTTAAAATATTATAAAAAATATTTTTATTGCCATTTTAGATGAATTTTTTAATTAGCGTTAGTGAAATTTTAACTCTAAATATTTTGTTTCCAAGGCAAATCCCATAAAAAAGCTTCAGCTAAATCAGGGCGTTGACCGTAAGAATGACTTGGGAACACTAGTAATAGGTTTCAAATTCCTCGTTCCAAAAAAATGGAATTTGGTAAGAGAAACCTCAAGTGCATCCTCTATAAATGCACACATATATACACCCTCCCTAAATGCACTCTATGGCTCAGTCCCAAACTTACAAGGTCTCTAATTATTTACCCTATAAATGCACACCCTCTCTAAATGCACACAGTCGTTTTTTTATATGGTCCCAAGGGAGCGCACTTAGAGATATTTCTCTGTATATATTTTTAAGGCGCTTCTTTTTGTACAGTACTTTTCATAATTTATTAGTCTTGGTTAATAAGGTAAAAATTACATCTGATCTTCGGCTTCGGTGGTGACAATATTTATCGTTACGTTAGCTATTAAAAAACAATACTTGAATGATGGGTACAGATAATTCTGGTTTCTTAGATTTTCGGTGTATCGTACAATAGAATTTCTTTTATAAAGTAAATAGACATCATAGTTTGATGCATTTATTGTTAAAATAATCGAATGTGAAGAGAAAAATAAAGTGGCGTACCTTTCGTTGGATAGATTTCTTGTAGTAAATTCTTGATAAAATTTATAGTAACCTGTTCTATTAGTATTATTATATTTTTCACCCTTTCCGTCTCTCTAATTATCTTTTCTAATTTAGATCGCGTTTACAAGTCGAGCATGCTTGACGCTCTTCTTTGCAAACAAGAAACGGTACCCAAAACAACGGCCAAAAGCAAAAAAGGGCCAAGATACAAAAACACCAAGCAGTAGGGCTTGGCGCATGTGTAATATAAGGAACCACTCGTTTACGACAATACTGACAATAAGGAAATGTGGAATCTGCAGAGTAAGGTACTGGATTCATGTTATTTCCCATGTAGATTACTGTTTCTGATGGTGGTTGATTTGGTTGTGTTGGTGGTGGTGGTTGTGGTGATTGTGGTGGCATGTGCCCAGTGACGTTTGAAGTTACTGCTGGTTGTGGCAATTGAATTTCTGCATTGTGCATTTGCTCTTCAGTTGATTGATTTTGATTGCTATGTGATTGAGTGTTTAAAGTAGCTTCGTATGGAGGAGGTGATTCAAAATTATCCATGGAGGATGACGGCATTGATGGCAATGTTGTTATTGTCGCATTTTGTGAATTATTATTGTGATTTCTCATTTCATGAATATGATTTACAGGTGGCTCTTGTATTCTATATGGTTCTATTTCAATTTTTAATGCCAACGGAGGAGACGAAATTACCGAAGGTGGAGAAGGAAGTGTATCATTATCGTTAGTTGAAGTTGGAGAAGAGACTATAAATCCACCAATACCATCTGTATTTGTTGTAACAATTGTTGGTGGTATAACATTTAGATCCCGTTGCTGATTTCGTTGGTTTTCTGAATTATTTTCAGACATTATTATTTTATTTTCAGACATTTTTTTACAGTTATTTGATTAAAGATTGAAACGAGGACACTGTTCCATATATCCAAATATTGTATGACAAGGATGTATTGACGCCAACTACGTACATGTACATACATACTACATGTAATACCAATACCGATACGTACGAACAATAATAATTATCATATTTATCGTTAAATGAGTTTCGTCTATGAAAGTTATTAAATAAAAAAATCCTTTTTCCGAAAATTTTAAAAGAACAATGATCCAGGCTGTTGTAAAAAATTAAATAATTAGCGCACTAAATAACAAACCAATTTTATAAATAACTAAATAATCAAAACGACACAAATTTTATATTCAAGTACTAAAAATGTCATCAAAGGCAACACCTCCATTTTGGGAGCAACCACAACATCAATTAGGTTCTCCGCCACCACAATATTCATCAGTACAACCGCCATCGTCAAATTTGGGACCGCCACCAGGTCCACCACCGGAAGATTTGGGTCCACCTCCTGGGCCTCCACCTGCAGCGACATATTTAAATCAACAATACGTTGGTCAACCACCAATGAGCCAAATGAGCCAATCTACCCAAAACGAAACAGGACAAACAATAGTACATGTTTTCTCACCACCTCAACCATCTTTGCCCGTTTCTGGTCCACCTGATTACTGTAATCAATGTGGACACATCTCGAATCCTATCAACGAAAGTCATATGAACGATCAAGGTATGATCTGGGCAATTGTTCTATGCTGCTTTTTCTTTCCGTTGGCGTGGGTTCCATGTGTTATGGATGAATTCAAAACATATACGCGGAAGTGTCCGCATTGTCGGAGTAATTTGGTTCATGCTCATTAGACTAATGCTAATAATACATATTGTTGCAATAGTAACATAAAAATCATTAATTCCAAAAATAGTTGAAAAACACAAAACATTCAAAAATATTTATATAATAACAAAAATCCCTCAAATTATTTTATTTTTCATTTATTATTTCACTTTTTATTCACTTTTTTACTTATTAATTCACTTTTCATTTCACTTTCATTTATTATTTAACTTTTTATTTATTATTTAACTTTTTTTTATTTCATTTTTTATTTATTATTTCACTTTTATTTTTACTTTTCACTTATTATTTAACTTTTGAATGATTATTTTATCAATTAGATAGTTATTATACTTGAAATTGTATTTTTAAAAAATGTATAAATAGAAATGGTGCTGTCTGAGTCTTGACATGTTGCAAATGAAAAAAATAAAAGTCCTCTCTTAACAAAAATCTTCTTTCAAATAATATTTGTCTCTTTCACTTTTAATTGTACACATTAAAGCTTGCATATAAGTGACTTTGAATCATATTATGTCAAACAAAATGCTGTTATTGAATTTATAAACTTTGTATTATATTGTACTAAACAAAATATTGTTATCAAATTTATTTATCTTGATTAAGTATTTTGATTTTTGTTACTTTGAATATTTGTTATTTTTAATTTTGATATTTTGGTATTTTTCATTTGTGAAAAGAACAAAGTAAAAGAGTTTTTGTTATTGTTATTACTAATTATATTGTTTTAGCTCTGGAAAGTTTTATACAAATATAAAGAATATTTCAAATTCTCTTTATCAACTATTCTTTTATTATTTTATATTTTTTTCTCTTCTCTGATCTTTACTCTCACACAACTTTCTTATATTATATTTTTGAATTATTATAATTTTAATAAAAATTAATATAGAACTTAGATATTCCTCTTTTTTAATATTTTGTATATTGTTTAATTTTCTTTTCTAATACAATTTCAAGTCTATAAACTAATTTAATAATTAATAAATAAACTTGTAATAATGTATTTAACTTGATAATATATTTGAAAAGTTAAGAAGATAATGATTGAAGTTAATAAAATCTCATTATAAAATTTTATTACTAAATTTCAAAATAGTTAAAAATTCCAAAAAATTTAAAATATTCAAAAATAATCAAACTTTTTATATAGTAAATTTTTTAATTTTTTAATTTTTATTTCATTTTTTATTTTACTTTTTATTTTTTCACTTTTTGTTTCACTTTGTATTTATGAAAAATATATAAATATATAAATAAATATAATATCTAAGCTTTAGCTTAACAATTAAAACTTGAAAAATAATCTTTTAGAATTAGGATTAGGGTTAGGGTTAGGATTAAGCTGAAAAGCCATATTTTTTCAAATTAATAAGCATAATATATTATACAGTGCCCGTCAAAAGTATCCCCGCACCTCTAACTCGTTATGAAAGTAAGGTAAGTCAAAAAAATTTTTTATTTTAAAAGTTCATGTCATTACATGAAAAATTAATACACTGTATAATTGCTCTTAGATCCAATTAGGGTTTCCATACGACTTCTCATACTTCTAACTAAATTAGCCGCATATTCTTTAGATAAGCGATTCCATTCCTTTATTAGCTCACCCTTCAAATCTCTAATTGACCTAATTTTTTTTTGCTAGATTCATTTTCATGAGCTCCCAGATATTTTCAATTGGATTCTGGTTGGGTGACATTGACGGCCAGGGAAGAACTTCAACATCATTTTCTTCTTTCCATTTTTTCACAATTTTCGAACAGCGTTTTGGCTCATTATCCTCCTGCAGAATCCACTTATCACAATCTTCACCAAAAAGTTCCACAACAGAAGGCAGAAGACCTCTTTCATATATAGTAATCATAAATTTCGCATTAAGATTACACCCCAAGCAAACCAACCTGCCAAAACCCGAAGATGAAAAACAACCCCAACCATGAAGCTTTAACGGATACTTTACAGAACGTATCACTTTTCTTTTTCCAGGAAACTGCCAAGTCATTTTAGTCGTTGATTCAGATGAAAGGTACTTTCATCAGAAAATATCACATTGTCCCAGTCAAAATTCTTATGCTTCTTCGCCCACTGCAGGCGTTTTTTTCGGTGCTTTTCTTCGATTAAAGGTTTTGATAGTTTATTGAAATACCGACCCCCACTTTCACTAAGACGTCGTTGGATAGTGAGTACACTAACGTTGACGTCTCGCTTTTTCATTTCCCGTTGAATTTCTGGCGCTTTTATATCATTTTTTTGCAAGCTCTGCAATTTGTTTGTCTTGCCTTTGGATAGTGATCCGTTGTCGGCCCGATTTTGGTTTGTCGCTCAGGTCTTTGTTTTCTCCTCATCTTTTGATCCAATAACGCACTGTTTTTCATCACAACGAACTACTTTTGCCGTCTCACGCATTGATAGCCTGGGACCTTTCGGGTGGATGCTCAAAAAAACGATTTTATATCGTCGATTTAACGAAAGACATTTTTTACGGCTGAGATTTGATTTATAAGCAATACGGATTTTTTTATTACGTATTTAATCTGCCCAAAAAAGATTGTTACAATATGTACCGTATACATGTGTAATTTCAAGAAATTCACACATGATATATCGGAAATTACAGGTGCGGGGATACTTTTGACGGGCACTGTACTTGTAACAAGGAACCTGGGTAGTTGATCTATCAACGCAAAAGGGACCCTTACACACTAATACTATAAAAAAATTCGAAATCATATATACCCGGTTCGGGTTGAAAAGAAGATTGTTCGTCGTTGTTAGAACAGGCTCATTATACTCTCTGCTGGTAAGGTCGAATTTTGTTCTTTTTCGAGTCTACGTTTTTTATTATAGCGAACGTGACGCGACTCCTTCTTGGACGGTTTCTCTCGCGATATAATAATGGAACTAGAAAAAATAGGCAGAGATAATACTATTTGACGAGCCGTTAAGGTTAAAAACCCTAGAGCCGATGTCCTGCTCAAGAAGAATAGTACGTATTTACTTTTGCGATAAAAAAAAGAAAGACAGGACTCTTTTGCGTTGATAGATCAACTACCCTACCCAGGTTCCTTGTTACGAGTATACTTGTTATGCAAAAAATTTGTTTCTACTATTGTTTTTCTTATGCTAACAAATTAAAAAACTATAATTTTTAACATGTGATTCTATGACGCGTATATTTTGCTTTGAATTGTATAATAATTTTAACGCAACTTTGCAAGATACGTATTCTATTAATTTTTTCGCATTCTTTTAATAGACAGAACATTTTATGATATTCAAATGACAACATTTACTACACTTATTGTAGTAATCCCGTACCTGATAAAAAACGCATTCACTACAACGGTGAGTATTTTAGAATTCATCTTTGAGTTCACTTTATAAAATCAGTGTTTTATTTAAATCTTTGAAATGATAAAAAAACAAAATAAATGATAATAAATAAAAAATTATATCAGCGTTAACGGTAATAGAATATTATTGTTTTTTTAACTTTTCATTTTCCTTTTCAAGCTTATGTAATATATTTTGTCGTTCATGTTCCCATTCACCTCGTTCACGTTCCCATTCACCTCGTTCACGTTCCCATTCACCTTGTTTTCGTTCCCATTCACCTTGTTTTTGTATGTATTGTGTAATAATTAAATTGAGTCGAGTAATCTCTTGATGTTGATCGGAATCTTCACTTATTTTTTCTTGTACTGCAAAGAAAAAATAGCAATTAATTAAAGAAATTAATAAAAAAAAAATCAAAGTGATTTTACCTTCATTTGTCTCGTTTTGAACATATAAACTGGCACTTGTAGATTCGACATCAATATCGATATTAGTTACATATGCTAGAGATACACGCAACAAGTGTCTTAGTATATTAATATTGAAAACAAACCGTTTATTTGATTCTTCCGACACATTTTCAATAGGACGTTTATTGTTCGTTTTCTGATCTTTAAAATTTAGTTTCATTGAAAAAGTTATGATATTTTAAAATGTTGAGACTCTGTTGCTATTAACGGAAAAAAAACTCACGTTGTATTTTTCTTTCGGCATCTTTTCCATTATTCTCAATATAAATATTAAACTCTTGTGAGACATATGCTGACATTATAAAAAAAAATGCAAGTGAAAATTATAATCAATTAATAATAATTACTGTGCACAGTTGTAGAATAACTAATAAATTCACCTTTATTTGCTCTGTTATTTGTAGACTCAGCATCAATATCTATATCAAGTTCAGTAGTAACATATTCTAGAGTTGCAAACAAGTATTTTTAGTTCTAATATTATATTTTTTGAAAAATTACATGTAGTAAATCTACCTTCATCCGGAACATACAAACTGACACTTGTAACCCCTAAATATCCAAATAAATTTTTACTTAATATGAAACGGTAATATGATTTATATTTTAAAATAAATAAGTGCCCACCCATGTCAGTTGAAATTGAAACTAATTTCGAAGTAAAGATTCGACTAGTGTAAACTGCTTTTTGGTGAATTTGTTGTTTTCTGTTTGTATTTATAGAAAAGCTTTTCTGATATCTCATTTCATTTAGTCTTTGCCTTTCTAGTTTAAGACTCTCCTTGATTTCTTCGTCTGTTTTAAGATATTCTAAAGCGCAGTAGTACAGAAAATGCAAAACATTCGGTTTCCACTTCTCATCGTTGATATCGGTAAAGCAGATAGAGTCGATAAAGTCGAAAAGTTCCTTGGCAGATGGTCTGTTTTCTGGAATAGAATCCCAACATTTTTCAATAATAAATTTGCACCATCCAGGAACATTATTTAGTATCGTAGGTCGTACTTCATTGATGATGATGTCTAATACGAGATCTGCATCATGACTTCGCTCACCGAATGGTCGTTCACCTGTTACAACTTCGTACACAATCATCCCAAAGCTATAAATATCTGCAGCTTTAGTGTATGGTTTTCCATTTAGCACCTCTGGACTCATATAAGGAAGTACTCCGCAAAT